AAACTTGCTTAAGCCTGAGTTTCAGCAAAAGATCAGACACGGAATCTTCTCTTTAGCAGCCAAACAAACACAACACAGTGCTTTGAGTTGTTTGTACATTTAGGAATCACCAACTAATATTCTTTCATATTGTTATTGTTATGGTGATTGTAGCGCTGTACAAAACTTTTTCAAGGACTCTTACCTGTTTTGTTGTTTAATTTTTATGTTTCATAGCTCCAGTATCAAAGCCGATCATCAGAGATGACTCTGAAAAACTCTCAGTGAGTCTCAGAGAGTCGTGTTCTCCTCTGTGCTCTGTGGAGAATGGGAAGGATGTGAGTTTGTCCTGGTATGAAGAGAAAGAGAGAATCTCCAGCATCAGTAGTTCAGATTGCAGTGAATGTCTCTCTCTGCCTCTGAATATAACCAACCCAAACTATTCTACTTACACCTGTGTAGCTGCTAATCCGGTCAGCAATCGGACAACCCAGCTCAACATTACAAACATCTGTATTAAAGCAGGTAGGTAATAAAATCATTATCACTTTGATTTTGTGTGTTGTTTACTGATAACTGAATGGTTAGTATTTTAGTCAGAGTTGGTTACACAAAGAAGCAACTAAGAAAACTTCATTAGTCCCTTTGATGCTCGGCTGATGCAGATACACCTGCTAATTAATGAGGATTAACACAGAAATGTTTGTCTTTTGCTATCTTGCAAAGCAAGTTAGCATAATTGCAATTTTTACACATTTCACTAAGTAACTGCAGCAGATATTGTTTAACAGTCTCAGGTCAGAATGTTAAGAGAGATCCCTCCAAATCATTGGCTGCTGTTCTGACACCAGCTGGACTGATTGCTGCTCTGTCAATATTAAGTGTGTGGTTCTGGAAAAAGAAGACAAAACAACAAGGCAAGAAATGCATCTTCTCGATTTGCTACACCAACTGCCTTTCATTATTTGTGGTTTTGTTCGTGATACAGTTTGCTGCACCTCTGTAATATATTATTCTGTTTTTTTTGTGTCTAGTTTATCAGTATGTTAAGCTGAATTATGCTGAAGTGAAAAGCACATCTCAGTATTCACAGGAATCTCATAAGGTAAGTTTATATACATTACAGATTTAATAGTTAAACCTTATTGAAGTTACTGTGCTGTGATTATACACACTTTATGAGAATGGAAATATTCATGTTCTTCTACTGCACTGCAACCTGAACATTTAGTGTCTTTTGTTGGAATGAAGTTTGAGTTAAGTAAATGTAGTAAAGTTGTTGTTCATGTTGAAATTATCATATTTATTTATTCTGACTGATTTCGCAGAGAAAAGCTGTAAAGCATTATCATGTGTATACCAGTGTTAGCATAATGTGCTCTTGGCTTTCTCTATACTACATTAAGTTGCACTAATACCAAAATGCACTAGTATTTGAACGATGCACTGTTGTTCTTTTTCATATGTGGAAGTGTACTCTAGTTACACTACTTTGTAGCACTTTTTGCATTGTTTAAATACATAATGAGATCAATTTTTTTGATTAAACAGTTCTGAATATGTCTACATGTGTGGTTGAGGGCAACCATTTAAAATACTAGCCAGACGTTTCGCTGTAGTGAAGCGGCCACAAAGGCATGATGTGGCAACCAGTCTGGATGGTTAAACAGTCACTGGAAAATAAACCTCTTTAGATCTTTTTTTTCTCTACATTTGAACAACAGATTGTAGTTGCGCTGTGATGCAGTTTGTTTTTATTTTTTAGGGTTCTGCTTCTAGACATTTTAAAGTAGAGCTCAACAAATATTCCATGACCTCAGTACAGATATTTCATTGACAACAGAAAAAAGAAGAGATATTTAATATTTTACATTATCAACTTTATTGCTATTGTTTATTATTTTTGTAAATATACACCAATTTCCATATGCCTGCATCACATTCCAAAAAATGGAATAGGGTCAATGTAAGACTGGGAAGTTATCATGACTGGGTGTAAAAGGAGGTTTCATGAGAGGCTTAGTCACCACTTTGCAAACAAATTCCACTACAACAATGTGTCCTCACTTCCCAAAAGATTACTGAACATTGTTAACAGGAAAGGTGATGTAAAATAGTAGTAAACATGCCCCTCTCCCAACTTTTTTGGTACATGTTGCTGCCATCAAATTTAAACAAAAACATATTTAAATATTTAAACAAAAAGTAATAAAGAAAATTAAATATCTTGTCTTTATATTGTTTTCAATTGAATACAGGTTAAAAATATTTGCAAATTATTGCTGTCTGTTTTTATTTACATTTTTCTTATATGCAAGATATACAAAATAGCAAAATTTTAAATAATCAGTTCTACAAATAGAACATGATCAAATGCACTGTTTTTTTATTGTATTGAAAATCGTAGGCATGTAGACAACGTTTTATTACACACTTCTACATCCTAAGAATAACTCAGCTCTGTATTTACTCAATAATAAGCCTTAATATTTAATAAGCCTACAATTTTAAGGGGTTAATAAGTGCTGACATTAATAACAAGCTTATGGAATGTAATTAAGACAGCGAAATACATCTAGATTTAGGAACAAGAATGCTTATTGCCTCAAAAACTCTTAAAAGACTACTAAAATACGCCACTGTGTTTTACAGAAAGGCAGTGTTGGAGTGACAGAAGACCAGTGCACATTGGTGGTGTATTCAGCTAAAAGGATGTAACTCATCAGTTTATTCATTGATACATTTTTAAATGTTTTTTGTTGACTGCTTTATTCACTAACTTGTAACAGTGACCTGTTGTTTAGACCATTTATTCCATTTCTGTACTTGTGCTGTATCCATGATGAGTTTCTGAATAGAAAGACAAGCAGTGTAAACTTTGTGATCCTGTAAATGATAGTAAATGTAAGACCTCTACTACTGTTTCACAGACCTCTGTGAACCTGCAAAAAGTCTGTCAGAGATGTATCTACTTAAACTCTCTTAACTCAAGCACTAACATCTGCACATCTTTATTATTTATTTAGACCAGCGACGTTAAAGTCAGTTAAGACAGACAAAATCATGAAAATAAACAGCACCATTGAGAACCACCCGAACCTTCTGTGCATTCATTCTGTTCATTTCATTCATTTATTTTTAACACATTTTAATACTCCTAGAACAAACTCATGCAGTAATTCTGTAGCTCATAGCAAAGATGTGATATTATAATGGTGATAGTAAACAAACAAAAAAAACAAAGAAAGCAAAGCTGCAGTGAATCCAAACAATGCTCTATATTTGGGTAAATACATGGAGCACATACTGCTGTACTCGAACAATGAAACCAACTGAAGGCAGCAGCACTCAGGCTGAACAGTGACCTGCTGTCTGCTCATATGCAGAGTAGCAGAGAGAGTCTCACATATCGCAGATGAAAGGGGAGTGGTGGGGGGACTTGTGGGTAACATGTGAATACATTAAGAGAAAGTGTGAAAGGAAACAGACATATTGTCAATTCTGAGGTCAATTGTAAGGGCTCTTGTGTTCATCATGATGCTCCTTTGAGCAGAGAAGTTCAAAGTAAGGAATAGAACAGAGGACATGAAGATAAGTGATCTGCTTAAAACTGTTTTTTGAAATAAAATTTAACACACGCACACACACAGAGAGCCACACAAGTGTGGGAGGAAGCAGTGATGGTTTGTTAGAGGAAAGCAAGGAGGCCTACACACCTCAAACTTTTGCTGTAATAAACTAAACAGCATGATGAAATTACATATAAATATACTTTAGCAGTTCCCAACTCTCACATGCCATATTGTCTATTTCCTTTTCTCAGTAATGACTTCTTAACAGCTACACATCCTTTCAGACTCAGTGTTGACAGTTACTTGTTTTTTTTAAGAATGAGTGGAACTTGATTTTCTCCTCTCTCTCAAAGATGAAAGCTTTATGTGCTGTTTATTTGATGGGCACAGTTTTGGTGGTCCACAAGGCCTTATAAAAAGACCTTTTTGAACAGTTTTGGAAATCTCCTGAAATAAAAATAACGTACTTAATGGTTGTTTTGACTGGAACTTAAATAAATGAAGGGTGGTCTTTTACTTTTGTACAGTACTTTATGTCTGTGGTTGGTGCCCTTTAGTCACAGTGGCAGCAGTTAGCGGCCCCCCAGACTCACACATTAAAACGGAAGTCATGGGTTTCAGCTTAAAATGAGGCCTCAGTGTATGTAAAACCTTTTAATCAGGACAATGAAACTGAAGTTCTTCAGGATATATTAGAGATTAGAGATTATCTTCAGTCACTTTAATTGTGAATTAATTAAAAAATACATTAACAGTATGATAAATACATAATTAATTAACTAAAGTGAACACAGTGTGTTAAATTAACTATTCATAAATCTCTCCTGAAGGAAGTCCAGTATTTACAGTTACCATCCGATACCTGCTTCAGCTGATCAATCCTTCATTTCATTAAATCAGGTGATGATGATGGAATTTAACAAATCCATACAATGACTGGAGTTCAGTGAGAAGTCAGGAACCAAACCTGTGTTCTTCTAACCAATATTTCAATAACTTTATTTGTATTTGTTCTAATGTTACTTAGTGTTTTTACTGGCAAGAGCACAATGTCCAATGAGGATAAAGAGTTTAAAACAATGTATACATGGAATTAAGAGCGTTTACTGTGCAATTAGAAAAATGTAATGCATTGTATTCTGATAAATATGAAAAATAAACTCAGTACAAAGCTATATTTAATTACTAATCTGTAACTCCTCACTGTTCTCTAGCTGTACTGTCAGTGCTTTCAGTATAAAAACAGGCAGCTGGACCTGAACCCGTATTTAATGTTGGCTGTTTATTGTCAATTAAAAAACTAGTCTTAACTTATATTGTTAGAATTCCAGTTGAGTCTAAGATGGTGAAACGGACAGCTGTTGACGACGCAATGCAAGATGGGTGTCCTCAGTCTAGCCCAGCCCAGCGCAGCACAAGCACATCAGCTGTGTTTGTCTTTTGTTTGTGAAAACTGACGATGGAGTTGAAGAGTTAGTTGATGAAGCTGGTTGATTAGAATGGCTGGTTAAGATGTTCTCAGAATACAGGATTCATCCAGCTCTGCTTCACCTGCTTTACTGTAAGTCTGTTTTCCTCAAACTATTCCAGGAAAATGAGGAACTCTGAACTTACAGTGCGGTCAGTCCGGACTGAACACTGATAGAGATCGTCTTTACTGTTACTGCTCTGTGTTTAATAGAAAACAGAGTCACTGTGAGTGTTGATGTGTTTTATACAGTAGAGCAGAACTGAAAGTAGGTGTATCTGTATTAGATGATGATCTATCTGTGTGAAATACAGTCATATCAGTGATTAGATCTGTATATAAAGTGTGTTGGATGCTTTAACCAGTAGTGAGCTCGGTGTGTTTGTCTAGAATGAAGAAAGGATGAAGAATAGAATAGCAGGATCAGGTAGATGAGAGCTGAACTGAAGTGTAGTTACTGAGTCAGTTGAGTCTATAGCAGCTTTACTGACTTCAGTTTAAGAGTGAGCTCTATTACAGTGTCTGTAACTTCTGAGATGTTCTCATAAACCACAAGAGGAACCACAAAATTCAATTTGTATTTCAATCTTTTCTGCTATGCACAGTATATAATAATTAAGTAATGCTTGATGTGACTTTGCAAATAAAAAATGCGATGTTGAATTTTGTTTTGAATGCTGTTTAAGTATAATGCAGTGAATGTAGTATACATTTTGAACATGAAGTGAATATGTGCACAAAATTGAACAAAAGCTTGAATGCTGGATTTTTTTTTACACAATGGAACACTTTTTATCATAGATAACAGCAAATAGCCTGGTGGCAGTACTAAATGTAGATAAAATTACATTTAGTAATGCAGGTATAATGCATTTAGAAAAAGCATTATACAGGCATTAGGCATTGTTATATTATTATATAGACTAATATTATCTACTTACATTGTTTCAGGTCTGCTGTGCTCAGCTGGAGAAGAGGTTGTCAGACTGCAGGAGCTGGAAGGAAACACTGTAACCATCCATACTGGATTAACTGGAGATCAGAGTGATGCTCAGATACTGTGGCTCTATAGATCCGAGAATGTAGAAATAAAGATAGTGAACAGTCTGGTGTTTAAAGGGGAGACTAATACAGACTATCCCAGTGAGAGATTCAGAGACAGACTGCAGCTGAACAGAAACAGTGGATCTTTAACCATCACAAACATCAGCAGAGAAGATTCTGGCGTTTATAAACTACAGATCATTACCGGACATCAGTCAGTCTGGAGTTTCAGTGTTAATATTTATGGTAAGTAAATATTACATTTTTCATTTTTATAGTTGCTGAAGAATAAGGCAGAACATGAATAAGCAGAACTGGGCTCAGGCTGAAGACCAACAGTATGAACTGAATTAGTCATAAACCAGGTCACTTCCAACAACAAAGATTAGTATGATAAAGAAATATTCTACAGAATTTGTTCTGGTTGGTTTAGGGCAGGGGTGTCAAACTCAACCAGTACAAGGGCCATATTAGAAATCTTATCAAATCTGTGGGCCAGAGAAAACAAAATATTTTTATTTTGTTTTTAATTAATGTTGTGCCGTAACCCAAACTGGTTCTTCTTTATTCAAAAATATGCAAAGACTTCAACATTAGAATACAGGCACTTGTAGTAGAACTTGACTTATTACATGGGCACTGAAATATTCAAAATTTAAATGTCCCCAGGTGCTCAGTCTTTTAAACCTACCTGTTGACCTGCTTGAACTAGAGACCTTGCATCTGTACTTTGCTGCAAGTTTATTAAGACTTGGACTCAATTTCCGGTGGTGGAACTGCAGCTGAAATGCATTTTGGTGATATTACTAGTGTGGAACTGCACAGAAATGTGTAGAATTGAGGTGTAACTGCTGTCCCATAGACTGTTGTTGGGGTAGGAGAGTTGGAGCACATCACATTACAGTACATGCTGGGGACTGTAGTGCAGCACATTGTGAAACGGGTTAATATTAATAGAAAATTCTTTTGCGGGCCGGATAGGATCGTGTGGCGGGCCTGATCTGACCCGTGGGCCTTGTGTTTGACACATGGGGTCTAGGGTGATGAGATTATGTGCAGAATTAAATCTTGGATGAACATTACAGTTCATAACAGTACACATTTGAATCATTTTTATTCTGGTTGTCCTCTATATTTTAATATTTTTCCCCTATACTTTATTTTGATTTCCCCTCTATATTATCTGTAGACACTCAAATTGTTTGCAAATAACCAAAACTGGTTAAAATGAATTGATTATCAGCAGTGTCAGGGTTAATATTAGGTTTAGGCTTGGTGTTGAAGTTCAGGTTGGGGATAGATTTACCTGATTCTGTTACATTTACAGTTGCATTTAATAGATATTTAGTTTTATGTTAGTTAAAGGGAAGCCTGACTGTTAGACATATATGGCTTAAAATAATGTCAGAGACCATTAAAATATGATGTATAAACCAAATGGAAAGGTTTTGTTTATTATCAAAAACATGATTAATATGCAAAATACCTGTACTAGGATTGTCGCACTGTGATGATGTCATGAGGTTGTGCTGTTCTGTGGAAAATACAACAGTTAAAAGTTTCTCTCAGGTAATGTCACACTGTAGCTAAAGTCGGAAAGAAATGATACATTTGAATTAAATGAGATATTTAGCTTTTCCTCACTCAGAGGGCGAGAGAGAGTAACCGTGTGACGCAACAGTTATGGCAACCTGTTAGTAAAGGAATTTTGTTTATTGTTATCATGAATAAAGTTTTTTGCTTGGTTTAGAACATATTTTAGCAGTATTTAACACTACATCATATTAAGGCTTACAATTCTTAACATTTAAGGTTCCCTAAACCTTAAAGACCAAGTGAGCATCTACAGTGGATGCAACATAAAGTGTTACCAGTTTTTTTCATTAATTAGTTATACTTTTATTCACAGTCAGATCTACATGTTTCTATTTTTTGTCAGTCATGCTATGTGACCAAAAGACCAGAGGTAAATATGATTGAGAAAGTTATGCTTTTTTTTACTGACAAATTCAGAGAATATATAGACCAAAATGTAAAAATTCAGACAAAAAAGTAAATTTTGTATAGGGTTTATATATTTTTATATGGTTTATTATATAGACTCATTTTTGTGTTTTGTTTCCAAATATTATAAAATAATATAGAAGATCTACCAGTACTATATATCTGTTGCTGTTTCTACATCACCTAACACAATTAGTTCAATGAGTTCATTATGCTAAAAGATGTGATCTCATACATAAACAGCAGGAGTTGATCAGATGCAGATATGTCAGTATAAAATGAATAGAGATTTAACACACAGCTCAGATGTGCTGTTTATGAGCCACAGTAGATATCAGATGTGCTGAAACCTGCCTGAGTTTGGCAAACAACAATTGCAGCATAAAATCAGACATGGAATCTTCTCTACAGCAGCCAAACAGGCCAAACAAACAAATGTCAGTGATTTGACATGTTTGAACTGTAATTAATAATATTTTTGCATATTTGTATTGTTGTTGGTGGTTCTAGTGCTGTAGATAACCTTTTCAATGTCTCTTATCTGTTTTGTTTGTTTTTCTTTTGTTTCATAGCTCCAGTATCAAAGCCAGTCATAAGAAATCAAGCTGAAAAGCGCTCAGTGAGTCTCAGAGAGTCGTGGTCTCCTCTGTGCTCTGTGGAGAATGGGAAGGATGTGAGTTTGTCCTGGTATGAAGAGAAAGAGAGAATCTCCAGCATCAGTAGCTCAGATTCCAGTGAACGTCTTTATCTTCCTCTGAATATAACCAACCCAAACTGTTCTACTTACACCTGTGTAGCTGCTAATCCAGTTAGCAGTCAGACAACCCAGCTCGACATTACAAACGTCTGTATTAAAGCAGGTAGGTAATAAAATTATTATTACTTTGATTTTGTTTGTTGTTGCTATTTCAAGGCGATTATTCTTGTCAGAGTTGGTTACACAAACTTCAGTAGCTCCTCTGATGCTCTACTGATGCAGATCCACCTGATAATTGTAATCTCAGGTCAGAAAGCTGAGGAACTTCCCGAATCACTGGCTGCTGTTCTGACATCTGCTGGACTGATTGTTGCTCTATCAGTATTATTTGTGCTGTACTGGAGAAAGACGTCAAAGCAACAAGGCAAGAAATACATTTTCCAGTTTTTCTACATCAGTTGCTTTTCATTATTTGTGGTTTTGTATGTAGTACAGGTTGTTTCACTTCTGTATTTTATTATTTTGTGTTTTGTATTCAGTTTATCTGTATGTTAAGCTGAATTATACTGAAGTGAAAAGCACATCTCAGTATTCAGAGGAGGATTATAAGGTAAGTTTATAAGCATTGCAGATTCAATAGTTAAACCATTTTGAAGTCACTGTGCTGTGATTATACACACTTTATAAGCATGGCAACATTTATGTTCTGTTGCATTGCAAACTGAACTTTAGTATCTTCATGTGGAGTGGAATATGAGTTAAATACAAATAAAAATAAAATTGTGAATTGGTTGTTTATGTTGTAATTATCACAGCATATTTATCTATTTTTAATGATATCACAGAGAAAATGTGTAAAAACACTATCATGTGTGTCCCAATATTAGCATAATGTGCTCTTGGCTTTTTCTATGCTTCATTAAGTTGCACTAAAACCAAAATGCTCCAATACAATAACTGAGCAGTGCACTGTTGTTCTGTTTCATATGTGGAAGTGTACTCTGGTTACATTATTTTGTAGCACTTTGAGGATTGTTTTAATGCATGATGAGATTAATTGTTGTTTAATTGTTGTTGGTGGTGTATTCAGCTATAAGGATGTAACCCTGCATTTGATTTTTGATGACTGCTTTATTCAGTGTCTTGTAACAGTGAGTTGTTGTTTAGAACATCTACTCCATTTCTGTATCATACTATGTCTATTAAGCTACAAATGTTATAAAACATTTCATTTCTACTAATTTAGTAATAACCAGTGTAGACATTTGTGAGCTTGTACATGATAGTCAATATATGATATGAATGTATGAGGTAAAACAGTAGTGGTAACTGTAAGGTATAAGAAAAAAAATACATGGTTTGTGATGTTAAGCTTTGTCTTCTCTTGTAGTTTTGTTATACTATTGCCTTTATCTTTGGGCAGAGATTTATCTACTTCTAATAGTTTGAAACCTTCTGAACTTATGCACTAGTGTTAAATGTAGCTTGGAAAACAGAGACAAAATCATGCGAATAAACAGCGCTATTGAGAACCACTCAGATCTTCTGTGGCTCATTTCAGTACAAAAGGAAGATGTAGTTAATGGAGCAGAACTTTTTTGTTCATTTAATTCATTTAGTTCAGCACAAAGCTTGTTGGTATTGTGGGTTTTGGCTGCTGTGCCAGTCAGCAAATGAATTTAATGCATTTACAGTTTCACACCAACAACAACATCACCCTCTGCTGTTCAAAATATGTTTCACTGTGAGCTGTTTTAGTATTCATAATTAAATCAATCAGTATCTTAAATACTAGAAAGACCCACACTGCATATATGCACAACACTTTGAACTACATTCTGATTTTTTGTGACAAATTTATTTATTTATTTCTAAATATTTTAATCATATTACCCAAAAACAGGCTTATTTAACAAAAAAAGTGAAGGAGTAGGTCAGCACCATTTGCAGTACAAGGACTTAATGTTCCAGTACAAGGTCTGATATAGAGCCACTGTTACTGTTCCTGTTCCAGAGCAAACCTTGGGCACCTACAGACTACAAGTAATCAGGGATCAAATCATCAACTTATATGTTTGTATGTGAGCTTATGAATCATGGTTTGATGGGTTTTATGAAAGAATTTCATTAATCTGTCAGTCTGTTGGTGGTAAATCTCAATTAATAAAAGTGCAAATGCTACCTCGGCCATGCTCTTGACAGAGCTTGTTCACAGAGGTGCTGACTTAGGATAATACAGGGGTGTCCAGTCTAATCTGCAAAGTGCCAGTGAAGCTGCAGGTCTTCACTCCAAACAATCAGGAGCTCACCTGATTCTACTTGTTCAATCAACTAGTCTCAGTCTTGTGTAGAGTTGTTAATTTGTGCTCCTGCTTTGTTTAAAACCTGCAGCCACACTGGCCCTTTGTGAATAAAACTAGACACCTCTGGTGTGCCGCATAGTCCACAGACTGTCCCAGACCAACAAGAAGTGGAATATCCCTGTTGACTGGTCTAATGGACTGAAGACATCATGCAGGTCTTTCTGAAGATCCTAGGTGGCCATCGTAGGCTTGTAAATACACCACAAAAAAGGTACTGTATAATCTATTTAACAACATATTCGTTACATCACATATGATTATACTGTTCCATATTTTCTTCTTCAGAAGTGCTAAAATGAGCCAAACAATCAGAAACAGCAATACCAAGTTTATCAGCTGCACTGTAAGGTTTTATTAGATGGAGGAATAATAGAATAATACAGCTATTAAATTCTCTAAAAGGATATACAGGCTCACATCTATACCCACTTCAACTTTTCTGGTAACTGAAAGTGCGTCAGCAGATGGCACTGTTCCCATTTTGTGCAGATATTTCACATTCATATTTACCGGTTAATGAAGTCATGTAGTCATGCTTATTGTGTGACTGGGGTCAGAGACTGTGTGTTGTTTTCATTAGGCAGTGATATGCTGTAGGAGAGTTGTGTGTGTATTTGTTAAATATTTATCTTCAGCACTGCTCTATTTACCTACTGTATGTGATGTGAATGATATAATTACAGTACAGGTTATCAAGATAATCCAGGAAGAAAACTTCTTATCTCCAAAATGGTAACTTTACAGTAAAAGGAAAAATGTACTGTACTGTTAGAGTCAGTGGAACCAGATGTTTTTCCAAGTCATTCTGGGTAATTTCTTTTGGTCCATTCTTCATTAAATTTACACACAATGTAGAAGGCAACATGTACTTCTGAATTATGTCAAAAGCTGAAAAAGATTTCTTCTGACAACAGCGATATGTTCGTGTGAAGAGCTCCTTGGGTGTGCCAGGCCACCAGGTCTATAATAAACAGGGGGGATCATGAGGGATAAACACAGTGTGGGCAGAAGATAATCTCTCCCCAGACACTTCTTCTCTTTCATAATAAACCAGGGCTGAGTGAACAAATGACAGCTGAAGTCAAAGCTTATTATTCATTAGAAAGAACATTAAACTGTTTTGAAATTTATATGGTACAATTCAGTAATCACATCCATAATTCTGTACAGGTACATGTACAGTGTAAAAGTCAGATCACCCCACATTTATTTAATTTCCAGTAAAAACGAAAAGTTAGTCATTTTTCAGATGTTTCTGAGGAGATTAGACATAATAATCTACTTGGAATAATCCACTTGCATGAGGAAGGGGAACATCTAATGAAAATAAGTGATAAAAGAAGATCCCTAGAAAAAAGACCAAGAACAATTTTCAGATCAAACAAAAAAGCTGCTGATGTTCTTAGTACAATGGACTGACCACCCCAGAGTCCAGACCTCAACATCACTGAATGTGTTTAATACCAGGATTGTGATAAGCAGAAAATGCAAGCAACTTCAAAGACTGAGCTTTGGAGGTGTTGAAAACTATCCCTGAAATTCAGTCTCCTGAAAAGAATGGAAGCTGTAGTAAAAGCAAAGAGTGGACACAGTAAACCAGACATGTCAAACTGGGGATCTTCCAGGCCAAAGTGCTGCAGAGATTAGCGTTTACCCTCATCTAACGCTCTGAATTCAGTTCATGAAGGCCTTACTAATTATCTGATGAGCTGAATCAGGTGTGTTTAATGAGGCAGTGAGCTGAAATCTGCAGTGTTTTGACCCATTAGGACTAGAGTCTGACACATGTGCACTAAACGTTGATATTATTGATAATGTATATATTTTTTAAGACTTCAGTGTAATTTTCTGTTAAATATTTTTGTTCTTTTATTTTTGATGCTGAAAATCAACAACAGCAAATTTGACTGGACATTAAATGAATGAATGGTGGTCTCTGTTATTTTCACAGTACTGTTTGAGCTCATATTATTGTTAAATGCACTCAAACATTCAATGATTTCACTTATCACAGCTAAAAGGGAAGTGGTGGGGGGCTCATGGGTAATGTGTGAATAAATCAAGAGAAAGTGTAAAAGGAAACAAACACACTGTCAATTCAGGTTCATCCTTTTAAGATACTTTTGAGCTTGATGTTTTGGTAATGGCTTTTGTGTTCATCGTGTTGGTTTGAGCAGAGATGTTCAGAGTATATAGTGTATATACAATACGTGATCTGCTTAAAACTGTTTTAATAAACTAAACTTATACATATAAAAATGTATATACAGTGGTGGTTTGTTAGAAGCTAAACAAAGAGACCTAGACACTCCAAACTTTTGCTCTAAATAAACTAAACCAGCATGCTGAATTTTACAATTATTATGTTCATATACATATTTTGTTAGCAAACCCAAACACTCTTATGGCAAATTTTTGAAAAATAATCATTTTAATATTTCTCCTCTATGCAGTATGCAAGGATTAGGAAATTAAAATGGCTGCTCAAATTGAATACAAGCTAACCACCTTCAAACCAATCAGAATCAATATATATGCAAAATAAGCAAAATCACTCCTGTCCAAAACAGCCACTATAAATACAGCAGAGAGCTTTAATCACTGTAAGATTTATGGGTTTGTCTCAACTGCATTTAGACCCTCAGTGCCTCTGCATGCACAGTCAGTGCAGTATCTTAATGCAGCTCTGAAACTCATAATGGAGTCTGTGGGTTTCTGTATCTGGGGAAGGACATTGATCTGTACAATAGTGAGCTTTGTTCAGTAATACAGTTGCACGAGAGCATGCCTGTGTTTCTTTGTATGTAAATGTGGTCTTTATAGACAGATTTTCTGCTTCTTGACACTTTCACTAAACCAGTGTCCTCAGTATTTCACACCACTGTAGTGAATATATATTTATAAAACTGTTTTCACATTAAATTTGTAACATTCTCCTTTTTTTCCTGTAGCTATTTTTAATGCCATGTGTTGTTACATCCATAACAGCTCACAGCTTATATTTCACTCACTAGGGCAGTTACCTGATAAGGGAATTAATGAGATTTGAAGAGAGCATTAAACAGTATTTGGGCTTATTCTGACTTGCTCTTTCAAAATGAAGCAGCACTAAACTTTGTCTGGATGGAAGCATTACAGTGAACTGAGAAGATGAACAGATAACAGGGACATTCTAAAGAAGGTCTCAGAATTCAGTTCATTCAGAGAGACACACCTTATCTAAGAAAATAAATGCCGGAAGGGCAGGAATATTCCGAACTGAAACCATGGTGCAATAACCTTGAAGTAAACTGGACCTGTTCACTGCTTGGGCCAATTCCATTGATTCTGGCTTTACTGTTTCAGACCTAAAGTCAGTTTTCTTTGTTGAGCTGGTTTAAATAACGTGCTTCCTCCAGAGAACAAAAAGCCAAATACATTGTGAATTTTAAATGAATGGAAAGGCTTAAAGTGGTCAGTGTGGCATTTGTTTGTGGGGAAAGTCCCGTCCTTCAATAAAAATCAGCTTGCTGGTAAAGCTGTGAGCAGGACGTCCCCCTTACTATAGAGATGTAGCCAGAACAACCCCCCAAAAATGACAGGCAAATAAGACCAAAATCCCATGATTAGTTTGGCTCAAATAATGTACATATACATTAATGTCAATCTGTTATGCAGATTTTGCCATTGAAAAATATATTTTGAAACCATAATGTGTGTTTCAGTTTCAGGTTTGTGGCTCTCTCCCCATTCAGAGAGATAATCTGATTTTGTTTGACTGGTGGCGTTCCCATAAGTAAACAGACTTTCCCATTAGGACTCTATAAAATGTCCCATCTACTTAAACACTACTGCAGTGGTGCACAATTGATCAAGATGAGTAGTATCAAAATCAGAACAATGTAAAAACTGACTGAGTTTTGATGAACACAGTGCAGCAAGTGATGCTGAACCAGAAACAGAAATAAACACACTGAATATCTTTACATGTTTAATGAATAGTTCTATTATTACATCAGTAAACAGTGTAAGGTCAGTTACTGGCTCCTCAGTATCATGTTTGATCAAAGTTGTTTTTGTATGTTCATGTTTATTCATAATCTGCCTGTGATGTGAATCATGTGGAGGTGAGTAACAGTGTGGACGTCTAGAGGACTGTTAATGGTGAATGTTTTTCCCCTTTTTCATGCAAGACAGAATGTGAAAATAATGATTCACTGTTGTGTTTACTGAGACACAAAGAAAAACTACTTAAACCTTTTTCAAAACGCTTTTATTTCAAAATATACAATTATCTTTTTGACCCTTTTACAATAAACATGCAATATACAGTTGTAGCATGTGGGGGTGTGGTTTAGTGAATGTGGGGGTGGTTGAGTGAAATTGGGGGGGTGTGGTTTAGCACACATTGTCATGTACCCAAGTCGACCGACCCTCTGAGAACATGACACTTTTTGTTAGAGAATCTGAAAACCTCTTTTCAGGTGTTTATTTATGCTTTTTTCACTTGCTGAGTCTGTTGTGTTCTTTGTGGTGCATCCCTGAAACTGACGACAACAGCCAGACCACAAAGTAGAGAAGTGGAATATCTGACAGCAGTTTAAAAATAAGAAACTTGACAGTAAAATCGAAACAAATATAAGTATACAAATGCTGCATTTATTTTCACTTTTGAGAGAATCCAGACTAGTTTCATTTACAGAATGATTTTTAGGGAGTAGCTTCATGTAATTGCATCTCTTGTTTACACACCGAATATACTTCCTTTTCTCTATTGGTTTTCTAGCTCACTCACCTGATCATTTCATGAACAACAGATAAATAAGTGATGATGGATGAATAAACAAACCACACAATGTTCATTTTCATTTTCATTTTCCATTATGGTTCTCAGAGCAGCAGCTCATTAGATCACAGAAACGTGATAATGTATAACGCATGTGACTGTATAATGCAGACTTCACTGAAATTCACCAGAGCTGCTCTAGTGTACGGTATATTCTTTGGTTTTACATATATGTATATTTTTAGTTCAGTAGTTCAGTTGTAGGCGTCTCCCTAATCATATGACAACGCAATCATAAGTCACTAATTATGACTTTAAATTTGAATACACAAATGAAGAGCTGCAGGTTCTGAGTGGTTCCTTCATTATGCGAGGGAATCATCTTATATCTAATGTCCTCAGAATTATCTCCTGAAAAATAATAACTTGTTTTGACTGGAAATTAAATAAATAAATGGTCTTTAACTTTTGCTTAGTACTTTATGTCTGTGGTTTGTGCACTTTAGTCATGGTGGCAGCACTCAGTAGCCCCCCAGACTCACACATTCAAACGGAAGTGGTGGGTTTCAGCTTAAAATGAGGCCTCAGTGTATCTAAAACTTTCACAACAGGACAATGAAAGTGAAGTTCTAATATAGCTAAAGTATAGTAGGATATATTTCAGATATACATTAGAGATGATCTATTCTCATCTAGGATTGTTTTAATTGTGATTAGTTGAGGGAAACATTTTGTAGATTCTACTTTTTCAGTGTGTATCGGAATATAACTCGTGATAGTGTGGGGAAAAAGAAATAACAGTTAAAGCTTCTCGTTTATACAGTTTCCAATGTATTCAGGCAATGCCTTCAGCATGAAATATGACTGACTGAGTTTAACTGAACACATGCTGAAAACAACCTCAGGGTTCCTCTCTAAAACTGCAGCCACAGATACAAGCAGCTGTACCACTCACAGCCATTCATGCACTATTAAACAAGTTCTTTAACAAAAGGAATGGATCTATTTAGGACCATAAATTCTATATCAAATCATTTCATGTTTAAACGGTTCCTTGCATGGTGGAATCGTTCTCCAGATAGATGGAGAAGGTGAAAATTGTTTTATATAGCATCAGTGGGAGTGGTTATAGAGTTCCCAGCTTGATCATAACAATAGAAGCACCCTTTTTGGTGCTATAAAGAACTGTTTTTAAATATTTTCTACATAGAGCAATATACAACCTATTTTTAATCCATCTAAAGAACTATTTCACCATGCAAAGAACCATTTAAGCATGAAATGATTCTATATAGAACTCATGGTTCTAAATAGAAACATTCCCTTTACTAAAGAACCTTTGAAGAACCATTGTTTTAGGAGTTTACTGTTTTAGGTTTGTGATTTATAAATGTGAAGAAAGAGAATTAGGCTGAAACATCAAAACAAAAACATTCAATATTTCATTTGTTTTCTGCTTATTTATGGTTCTTTGTATATGTTTTGTTTTTTTGTATAAATATATGTACGATACTAATGTCTTTCTCCTACTGTTTTATTTATGTATGCTACTTTATAACTGTATAACTCTTCATAAATGTATGGTAAAATGTGCTTATGTCTATGACAGGCACTCTATATATAAAAATTATTATTGTTATTATTATTATTATTATTGTTGTTGTTGTTGTTGTTGTTGTTGTTGCTGTTGTTGTTGTCAGAACTTTGCTCCATAATTCACCACACAGAAGCCAACAGCACTGTAGCCTGAAGTCTCAGTATGGGTGTGCATGACATCAGCTGATGCAAGCAAAAAGCAATATTACACAGAAAATATGGCAGAACTGTGACCTTTCAAGGTCTGAGAGAATGACATGTAGATTTATCTCAATAGTAAACATTTATCTGTTCAAAAATACACAAACATTAAAATAAATACAAAATGATTAACTAAAGTAATCACTATTTAACTATTTGTAAATCTCTGCAGGAAGTCCAGTATTTACAATTACCATCCAATACCTGCTTCAGCTGATCAGTCCTTCATTACATTAAATCAGGTGATGATGGAATTTAATAAATCCATACAAAGACTGGAGTTCAGTTAGAAGTCAAAAACTAAACCTGAGTTCTTCTGTTTTCTTCTAACTTCTATAAATAACTTTATTTGTATTTATTATAATGTTATTTGCCGTGTTTACTTAACTTACTGCAAAGATAGACAGTTTCACATATCATAAATATAAATATCATAAATATAAAAATATAAACTTGTGATATAAAACAGATAAATTTGATTACAGGAGATCATTTGTAACCCATCACTGTAACTTAGCTGTGATGTCGGTGCTTTTATAAAAGAGACAGCTGAAGGTAAATCTACATTTAATACTGGCTGTTTGTTATCAGTTCAAATCTTCTCTAACATCGTTTAAAAATCCAGCTGACTTAAAGGCTGTGAAGCAGTCAGTTAAACTCCATGACAGCTTTTCACGCAATGCATGATGGGCATGCCCAGCCTAGCCCAGCCCAGCGCGAGCACATGAGCTCTGTGTGTTTTTCTTTTGTTTTCTATGAAGCTGAGAAGAAAACTGACGATGGAGTTGAAGAGTTAGTTGATGAAGCTGGTTGATTAGAATGGCTGGTTAAGATGTTCTCAGAATACAGGATTCATCCAGCTCTGCTTCACCTGCTTTACTGTAAGTCTGTTTTCCTCAAACTATTCCACGAAAACGAGGAGCTCTGAACTTACAGTGCGGTCAGTCCGGACTGAACACTGATAGAGATCGTCTTTACTGTTACTGCTCTGTGTTTAATAGAAAACAGTGTCACTGTGAGTGTTGATGTGTTTTTATACAGTAGAGCAGAACTGAAAGTAGGTGCATCTGTATTAGATGATGATCTATCAGTGTGAAATACAGTCATATCAGTGATGAATCTATATAAAGTGTGTTGGATGTAGCTTTAAGCAGTAGTGAGATCAGTGTGGTTGTCTAGAATGAAGAAAGGATGAAGAATAGAATAGCAGGATCAGGTAGATGAGAGCTGAACTGAAGTGTAGTTACTGAGTCAGTAGTTGAGTCTATAGCAGGTTTACTGACTTCAGTTTAAGAGTGAGCTCTGTTACAGTGTCTGTAACTTCTGAGATTAATTCTCATAAACCACAAGAGGAACTTTGGAATCACAAAATTCAATTTGTATTTCAATCTTTTCTGCTATGCACAGTATGTAATAATTAAGTAATGCTTGATGTGACTTTGCAAAAAAAAGTGTGATGTTGAATTTTGTTTTGAATGCTGTTTTAGTATAATGCAGTGAATGTAGTATACATTTTGAATGTGAAGTGAATATGTACACAGAACTGAACAAAAGCTTGAATGCTGGATTTTTTTTACACTATGGAGCACTTTTAATAATAGATAACAGCAAATAGCCTGGTGTGGCAGTACTAAATGTAGATAAAAATACATTAAGTAATGCATGTATAATGCATTTAGAAAAGGCATTATACAGGCATTAGACATTATCTGAGATATTATCTGAGATAGTGGCTTCAGAAATGAACTGATATTGAATGTCTTGTGTATGTGAGTGTATTGACTAATATTATCTACTTACATTGTTTCAGGTCTGCTGTGCTCAGCTGGAGAAGAGGTTGTCAGACTGCAGGAGCTGGAGGGAAACACTGTAACCATCCATACTGGATTAACTGGAGTTCAGAGTGATGCTCACATACTGTGGTTTTATAGATCTGAGAATTTAGATACAAAGATAGTGATCAGTCTGGTGTTTAAAGGGGAGACTAATACAGACTATCCCAGTGAGAGATTCAGAGACAGACTGCAGCTGAACAGAAACAGTGGATCTTTAACCATCACAAACATCAGCAGAGAAGATTCTGGAGTTTATAAACTACAGATCATTACTGGACATCAGTCAGTCTGGAGTTTCAGTCTAAATGTTTATGGTGAGTAAATATTACATTTTCCATCTTTATAGTTGCTGAAGAATAAGGCAGAACATGAATAAGCAGAGCTGGGCTCAGACTGAAGACCAACAGTATGAACTGCATCAGTCATAAACCAGTTCACTTCTGGCAGCAAAGTTTAGCATGATAAAGAAATATTCTACAGAATTTGTTCTGGTTGGTTTAGGGCAGGGGTGTCAAACTCAACCAGTACAAGGGTCATATTAAAAATCTTATCAAATCTGTGGGCCAGAGAAAAAAAACTATTTTTTATTTTATTTTTAATTAGTGATGTGCTGTAACCCAAACTGGCTCTTGTTTATTTAAAAATATGCAAAGACTTCATCAGTAGAATACAGGCACTTGTAGCAGAACTTGACTTATTACATGGACACTTGAAATATTCAAAATGTAAATGTCCCCAGGTGCTCAGTCTTTTAAACCTACCTATTTGCTTGAACTAGAGACCTTGCATCTATACTTTGCTGCAAGTTCATTAAGACTTGGACTCGATTTCCAGTTGTTGGGGTAGGAGAGTTGGAGCACATTACATTGCAGTGCATGCTGGGTAGACTGTAGTGCAGCACTTTGTGAAACGGGCTAATATTAATAGAAAATTCTTTTGTGGGCCAGATAGGATTGTGTGGTGGGCCTGATCTGGTCCGTGGACCTTGTGTTTGACACATGGGGTCTAGGGTGATGAGATGTTGTGCAGAGTTAAATCTTGGATGAACATTACAGTTCATAACAGTACACATTTGAATCATTTTTATTCTGGTTGTCCTCTATATTTTAATATTTTTCCCCTATACTTTATTTTGATTTCCCCTCTATATTATCTGTAGACACTAAAACTGTTTGCAAATTGTCTGGTTAAAATGAATTGATTATCAGCAGTGTCAGGGTTAATATTAGGTTTAGACTTGGTGTTAAAGTTCAGGTTGGGATTAGATTTAGGTTTAGGGTTAGATTTACTTGATTCTGTTACATTTACAGTTGCATTTAATAGATATTTAGTTTTATGTTAGTTAAAGGGAAGCCTGACTGTTAGACATGTATGGCTTAAAATAATGTCAGAGACTATTAAAATATGATGTATAAACTAAATGGTTTTGTTTATTATCAAAAACATGATTAATATGTAAAATACCTGTACTAGGATTGTCGCACTGTGATGATGTCATGAGGTTGTGCTGTTCTGTGGAAAATACAACAGTTAAAAGTTTCTCTCGGGTCATGTCACACTGTAGTCGGAAAGGCTGAATGATACATTTGAGCTAAATTAGATATTTAGCGCACGTTTCCTCACTCAGAGGGCGAGAGAGTAACCATGTGACGCAACAGTTATGGCAACAAGTTAGAGGAATTTTGTTTATTGTTATCATGAATAAAGTTTTTTGCTTGGTTTAGAACATATTTTAGCAGTATTTAACACTACATCATATTGAGGCTTACAATTCTTAACATTTAAGGGTCCCTAAACCTTAAAGACCAAGTGAGCATCTACAGTGGAAGCAAAATAAAGTGTTACCATTTTTTTTCATTAATTAGTTATACTTTTATTCACAGTCAGATCTACATGTTTCTATTTTTTGTCAGTCATGCTATGTGACCAAAAGACCAGAGGTAAATTTTTTTTACTGACAAATTCAGAGAACAAATAGACCAAAAAAGTAAAAATTCAGACAAAAAAGTAAATTTTATATAGGGTTTATAGATTTTATATGGTTTATTATATAGGCTCATTTTTGTGTTTTGTTTCCTAATATTTTAGAATAATATGGAAGATCCACCAATACTACATTTATCGTTTATACATCACCTAATGCAATACTGAGTATGTTATGCTGAAAGATGTGATTTCATACATAAACAGTTGATCAGATGCAGATATAAGTCAGTATAAAATTAATAGAGATTTAACGCACAGCTCAGATGTGCTGTTTATGAGCTACAGTAGATATGAGATGTGCTGAAACCTGCCTGAGTTTGGCAGCCAAACAGGCCAAACAAACAAATGTCAGTGATTTGACATGTTTGAACTGTAATTAATAGTATTTTTGCATATTTGTATTGTTGTTGGTGGTTCTAGTGCTGTATACAACCTTTTCAATGTCTCTTATCTGTTTTGTTGTTTTTCTTTTGTTTCACAGCTCCAGTATCAAAGCCAGTCATAAGAAATGACTCTGAAAAGCGCTCAGTGAGTCTCAGAGAGTCGTGTTCTCCTCTGTGCTCTGTGGAGAATGGGAAGGATGTGAGTTTGTCCTGGTATGAAGAGAAAGAGAGAACCTCCAGCATCAGTAGCTCAGATTCCAGTGAACGTCTTTATCTTCCGCTAAATATAACCAACCCAAACTACTCTACTTACAGCTGTGTAGCTGCTAATCCAGTTAGCAAACAGGCAACCCAGCTCAACATTACAAACATCTGCTATAAAGCTGGTAGGTAATAAAATCATTATTACTTTGATTTTGTTTGTTGTTGCTATTTCAAGGCGATTATTCTAGTCAGAGTTGGTTACACAAACTTCAGTAGCTCCTCTGATGCTCTACTGATGCAGATCCACCTGATAATTGCAATCTCAGGTCAGAAAGGTGAGGAACTTCCCGAATCACTGGCTGCTGTTCTGACATCTGCTGGACTGATTGTTGCTCTATCAGTATTATTTGTGCTGTACTGGACAAAGACGTCAAAGCAACAAGGCAAGAAATACATTTTCTAGTTTTTCTAGAAAAAACTTGCTTTTCATTATTTGTGGTTTTGTATGTGATACAGGTTGCTTCACTTCTGTAATATATCATTCTGTGTTTTGTGTCCAGTTTATCTGTATGTTAAGCTGAATTATACTGAAGTGAAAAGCACATCTCAGTATTCAGAGGAGGATCTTAAGGTAAGTTTATAAGCATTACAGATTCAATAGTTAAACCATTTGGAAGTCACTGTGCTGTGATTATATGCGCTTTATAAGCATGGCAACATTTATGTTCTATTGCATTGCAAACTGAACATTAGTATCTTCATGTGGAGTGGAATATGAGTTAAATAAATGTTGTGAATTTGTTGTTTATGTTGTAATTATCACAGCATATTTATCTAATTTTAATCATATCACAGAGAAAATGTGTAAAAGCACTATCATGTGTGTCCCAATATTAGCATAATGTGCTCTTGGCTTTTTCTAAGCTTCATTAAGTTGCACTAAAACCAAAATGCTCCAATACAATAACTGAGCAGTGCACTGTTGTTCTGTTTCATATGTGGAAGTGTACTCTGGTTACATTATTTTGTAGCACTTTGAGGATTGTTTTAATGCATGATGAGATTAATTGTTGATTAAACAGTTACGTATACATCTGTACATGTGGTGGAGGGTGTGGAGGGTGTTCATTTCAAATGCAAGCCAAACATTTTGTTGTAACGAAACGACCACAAACGCATGATGTGGCAACCAGTCTGGGTGGTTTAACGGACACTGGAACACAAAACACTTTAGAGCTTTTCTCACCACATTTGAACAACAGAGTGCAGAAGCACTGTGATGTAGTTTGTACTTATTTCTTTAGTTCTGATTCAGGACATTTTGGAGCCCAACAAATATTCCATGACTTCACTACAGTAAATTGGAACAAGCTGAACAGAGTAAAATACCTCATTGCAGTCTTGAAGTCGTTCAGTCATTTCCATAAAAGTATTACATTTAAATACTCAAGCTTTTCACCTAGAAGCCACATTTAATGTCTTATTAGAAATATTAGTATTAACTCATGAGTTTTTCACCAAAATATACTGCTGTGTTTTGCAGAAAGGCAGTGTTGGAGTGACAGAGGACGACCACACTTTGGTGGTGTATTCAGCTATAAGGATGTAACCCTGCATTTGATTTTTGATGACTGCTTTATTCAGTGTCTTGTAACAGTGAGCTGTTGTTTAGAACATCTATTCCATTTCTGTATTATACTGTGTCTGTTAAGCTACAAATGTTATTTCTACTAATTTAGTAATAACCTTTGTAGACTTTTGTGAGCTTGTACATGATAGTAAATGTATGATATGAATGTATGAGGTAAAACAGTAGTGGTAACTGTAAGGTATAAGAAAAAAACATGGTTTGTGATGTTAAGCTTTGTCTTCTCTTGTAGTTTTGTTGTACTATTGCCTTTATCTTTGGGCAGAGATTTATCTACTTCTAATAGTTTGAAACCTTCTGAACTTAAGCACCAGTGTTAAATGTAGCTTGGAAAACAGAGACAAAATCATGTGAATAAACAGCGCTATTGAGAACCACTCAGACCTTCTGTGGCTCATTTCAGTAGAAAAGGAAGATGTTGTTAATGGAGCAGAACTTTTTTGTTCATTTAATTCATTAATCTTATATACTAAAAAGACCCACACTGCATATGTGCACAACACTTTGAACTACATTCAGCTTTTTTGTGACAAATTTATTTGTTTATTTCTAAATATTTTTAATCGCATTAACCAAAACCAAGCTTATTTAACAAAACAGTAAAGGGGTAGGCCAGCACCATTTTTTGTAACGCAAGGACTTTGTGTTCCAGTAAAAGGTATTTGTGTTTGGAGCATCTGATACAGAGCCACAGTTCCTGTTCCACAGCAAATTTTCACAAGATAAATGGTCGAGCCGGAGGAAATGTGCTGTCAGGTCCAGGTTATATTGAATGTTTTTTTTGCATAGAGTTGGCCTCCCAGATTTCCTCCTAAACCATCCCACACTCCCTGGGCTTCCACCCAAATAGTAACTCAAATGCAGAAAACCTTGGACACCTCCAGACTGTGAATAGTCAGGGATCAAACCTCTTATCTTAATTTATAATACATTTGTATGTGAACTTATGAATCATGGTTTGAATGATTTAATTACTGTATTTCATCAATCTGTCAATCTGTAGGTGGTCCAAAGTGATTTAGCTTGTAAAATTTGTGATGGGGTCAGATGGCTATTGTGCTTTGATCAGTTAGGACCTCGATCTCAACTAGTGAAATTATGCTGATACTGCCTCAGCCATGCTGTTAGCAGAGCTTGTTCACAGAGGCACTAGGGTGTCCAGTCTAATCTGCAAAGTACCAATGAAGCTGCAGGTCTTCACTCCAAACAAGCAGTAGCTCACCTGATTTGACTTGTTCAATCAGCTAGACTCAGTCTTCAAACAGTTGTTCATGTGTGCTCTTGCTTTGTTTGAAACCTGCAGCCATGCTGGCCGTTTGTAAATAAAACTGGACACCCCTGCTGTGCCGCATAGTCCACAGACTGTCCCAGACTAACAAGATGTGGGATTTTCCTATAGACCGGTCTAATGGCCTGAAGAGATCCATGCCAGATCTTTCTAAACAGCCAAGTTGGCTATCATAGGGCTCTAAGTACACCAGAAATAAGGTACTGTATTAATATATTCATTATATGACATATGATATTACTGTTCCAGTGTTTGAGTGTGTCCATAAAACAGCTGCAGGAATGTTCATTGTATATTTGAATCACAAGCTTTTATTTTTCTTCAATAGCAAGTTTTCATCTTCAGAAGTGCTAAAATGAGCCAAACAGTCAGTAACAACAATACTAAGTTTGTCAGTTGCACTGTAAGGTTGTAATAGAAGGAGGAATAATAGAATAATGCAGCTTTTAAATAATCCAAGAAGTTTAGCAGGCTCACATATATCCCCACTTCAACTTCTCTGGTAACTGAAAGTGCGTCAGCAGGTGGCACTGTTCCCATTTTGTGTAGATATTTTAGAGTTGACATTCAGGGCCCACTTTAATGTACGTAATAGAATGATGGACCTCTTACAGTGATTTAAAACTTCCAGTAAGTCAGTTGTAAATTGTAACCCACAGTGTTATTAGAGCGTTGATAACTTGTTTTCTGTACTCAATATAACTGTGCTTTGTACTGATTTCTTTGAGTTTTATTTATCTACATAATTTGAACAAAGAAGCTGAACTTTCCATTGTGTGAAAATGTCATGATTAACACTCATTGACCTACTGGTTAGTTAATGAGGTCATATAGTCCATCTTATTGTGTGACTGGGGTCACAGACTCATTTTGTTTTTCATTAGGCAGTAATATGCTGTGTGTGTATTTGTTACATATTTATCTTCATCACTTTACTGACTATATGTCATGTGTATGATATCATTACAATACAGGTGAGCAAGCTAATCCAGCCTTGACTACAGCAGTTTCCACGTGCTCAACAAGGTCAGTGACAACAACCAACAGCAACATACAGAGCGATGTAGGTGACAGGAAATAACCAGGTATTACATCATTCTGTATATATAGAGATGTCTAGAAAATGTATGTGCGTGTTTGTGTATGTATGTATGTACACATAGTTCATAAAGTATATGTTCGTGTGCAGAGCTCCTTGGGTGTGCCAGGCCACCAGGTCTATAATAAACAGGGTGGATCATGAGGGACACAGTGTGGGCAGAAGATAATCTCTCCCCAGACACTTCTTCTCTTTCTTAACAAAGCAGTGTTGAGTAAGCCATTACAACTGAGGCAGAGGCTTATTATTCACAGAGAAAGAACATTAAAAACTGAAATTTCTATGGTGCAATTTGGTATCAGTAATTCTGTACAGGTACAGTACTGTGTAAAAGGCAGGTCACCCTACATTTATTTAATTTCCAGCCAAAAAGAAAAGTTAGTCATTTTTCAGGAGTTGTTTCTGAAGAGATTAGACATAAAATAATCCACCTGGATGAGGAAGGAAAACATCAAAGGAAAATAAGTGAAAAAGGAGATCCCTAGAAAAAAGACAAAGAACAATTTGCAGGTCCAACAAAAAAGCTGCTGTTGTTCTCAGAACAATTGACTGACCAGAGTCCAGACTTCACTGATTGTTTTTATTATTTAAATTATGAGGAGCAGAAAAGAGAAGCAACCAACTTAAGACTTTGGAGGTGTGGAAAAGGTCCCTGAAATTCAGTCTCCTGAAAAGAATAGAAACTGTAATAAAAGCAAAGGGTGGACACACTAAACCAGACATGTCAAACTGGGGACCTTCCAGGCCAAAGTTTTCCAGAGATTAGCATTTACCCTCATCTAACGATCTGAATTCAGTTCATGAAGGCCTTATTAATTATCTGATGAGCTGAATCAGGTGTGTTTAATGAGGCACTGAGCTGAAGTCTGCAGTGTTTTGGCCTCCAAGGACTGGAGTCTGACACATGTGTACTAAACATTGAAATTATTGATAGTGTATTTAGTTTTTAAGACTTCAGTGTAACTTTCTGTTAAATATTTTTAGTTTTTTTATTTTTTTTTTATGCTGAAAATCAACAACAGCAAATTTGACTGGACACTAAATGAATGGATGGTGCTCTCTGTCATTTTCACAGTACTGTATGAGCTCATATTATTGTTAAATGCACTCTTCACATATCACAGGTGAAAGGGAAGTGGTGGGGACTCGTGGGTAATGTGAATACATTAAGAGAAAGTGTGAAAAGAAACTAGAACACACTCAATTCAGGTTCATCCTTTTATGATATTTTTGAGCTTGAGGAAATTTTTGTAATGGCTCTTGCGTGCATCACAATGTTTCTTCAAGCAGAGATGTTCAAAGTATATAGTATATACAATATGTGATCTGCTTATATACATATATATACAAATATATACATGTGTATCCATATATATATATATATATATACATATATACACACACACACATATATATATATATATATATATATATATATATATATATATATATATATATATATATATACATTGGTGGTTTGTTAGAAGTTGCCAAGACATTCCACACTTTTGCTCTAAATAAACTAAACCAGCATGATGAAATTTTACAAGTATGTTAATATACATATATTTTTAGTAAACCCAAACATTCTTATGGCTAATTTGCTTATTGCTTATAATTTGAATGTTTCTTCTCTATGCAGTATGCAAGGATTAAGAAATGACAATAGCTACTGAAATTAAATACAAGATGACCACCTTCAAACCAATCAGAAACAAGATCCATGCAAAAAAATAAGCAAAATAACTTCACGTCCTTTTAAAAAGACATTAGAGAGCAGCTTCAATCACTGTAAGATTTATGAGTTTGACTGCATTTAGACCCTCAGTGCCTCTGCATGCACAGTCAAATTGTAACTTAAATGGGCAAAACCTTGGGCACCGACAGACTACAAGTGATCAGGGATCAAATCATCAACTTACATGTTTGTATGTGAGCTTATGAATCATGGTTTGAAGGGTTTTATGAAAGAATTTCATTAATCTGTCAGTCTGTTGGTGGTAAATCTCAACTAATGAAAGTGCAAATGCTCCCTCAGCCATGCTCTTGAAAGAGCTTGTTCACAGAGGTACTGCCCTGGGAGAATACAGGGGTGTCCAGTCTAATCTGCAAAGTGCCAGTGAAGCTGCAGGTCTTCACTCCAAACAAGCAGGAGCTCACCTGATTCTACTTGTTCAATCAACTAGTCTCAGTCTTGTGTAGAGTTGTTAATTTGTGCTCCTGCTTTGTTTAAAACCTGCAGCCACACTGGCCCTTTGTGAATAAAACTAGACACCTCTGGTGTGCCGCATAGTCCACAGACTGTTCCAGGCTAACAAGAAGTGGAATATCCCTGTTGACTGGTCTAATGGACTGAAGACATCCATGGAAGTCTTTCTAAAGATCCTGGGTGGCCATCACAGGCTTGTAAATGCACCACAAAAAGGTACTGCATAATCTATTTAACAACATATTTGTAATATCACATATGATTATACTGTTCCATATTTTCTTCTTCAGAAGTGCTAAAATGAGCCAAACAATCAGAAACAGCAACATCAAGTTTATCAGCTGCACTGTAAGATTTTATTAGATGGAGGAATAATAGAATAATGCAGCTATTAAATTCTCCAAAAGGATTTGCAGGCTCACATATATACCCACTTCAACTTCTCTGGTAACTGAAAGTGCGTCAGCAGATGGCACTGTTCCCATTTTGTGCAGATATTTCACATTCATATTTACTGGTTAATGAAGTCATGTAGTCATGCTTATTGTGTGACTGGGGTCACAGACTCATGTTGTTTCCATTAGGCAGTAATATGCTGTAGGAGAGTTGTGTGTGTATTTGTTAAATATTTATCTTCACCACTGCTCTATTTACCTACTGTATGTGATGTGTATGATATCATTACAGTACAGGTTATCAAGATAATCCAGCCTTGACTACAGCAGTTTCCATGTGCACAACAAGATCAATAACAACAACC